TCTCCAACTGCTGCTCTCTCATGATATGACCAACGAAGCGAAGCTGTCTCTGCTTCATCTGTCTCAGCAATTCCCTGGTTGTTTCCATTATCCTTAGAATCTCCTCATTAGTTCTCTCCTGAGTCCAGGACACCTTCAACACTCGTCTCCAAATCCACATTTCCACAGCTTTAATTTTTTCCTCCATCACCTCGCTCACGGTCCAAGATAAGTCCCCCATTATCAGAGTAATATCATGTTGTTTACATTGCACTTTTGCTTTCAAGACATCTTCATAAAATGCTTCAACATCTTTGTCGTTGCGTTTTTTATGTTCGTTGTTAGTTGCAGGGGCATACACTTGTATAATGCATATATTAAATGGGTTACCTCTAATCTTTACAATCAACACTCTATCTGACACAGGGTAGTAACTCAACAAACATTCTGCTACCGAGCGCTTCATCATCACGCCCACCCCATTTTCTTTTCTTTCACCTCCTGAGTATATGAAACATTTACCGTCATTCATCGGATGATAACCAACGCCTGGCCATCTAACCTCGCTCAAGCCCATCACATCCAAGCGTATTCTGTCCATCTCTTTCTTTGCGTTTGCCATCCTTTCAGGCTTCTCACGGTCCAGCGTTTTGACATTCCAGGTTGCCATCCTCAACCTATCAGATTTGCGAACAGTCGCTTGCTGACGGACAAAGGTCACCTGTTGCTCACGAATATTTTGCCCGGACGGGACAGCTGCGCCTGACTGACCGGCCCAGCTCCCATTCGCGCCGTGATCCTTAATATTATCTATATTGTGGCCTTGCATGGTAGAAGCTTGGATAGATACGTGACGAGGGCTCCGATTCTCTCCCACGTCACCGTTATCAGCGGTGAGCCTAACCTTCGCAATAATCGAAAACCGGGGTGGAATCAATTGAGAGTGTATGCAACCGGAGCCCGGTCGTACCAGATCTCGGATGCTTGGATCGGATCCTGCGGCAAGCAGTATTTTGTAGAGATGTCCGCCGTCTCTACTGGTCGCCGCCAGGTGGAGTGCCGTCGCACCACGCTGCAATGCCGACGTAAAAACACAGCATTCATTACGTCAGATAATTAATTAAATTAGCTAATTAAGTCAAAAAGTCAGTAAATAACCCACTTCATTTTTTGCAGTGCAGCATTCCTTATTCAGGTAATCTTTTTCTATATCGTGATTAACGGGAGTGGAAAATTTTCAACCTTATTAATTTTAATATTAACCAGATGACAGTGACAGAGGACAGTGAAAGATATCGGTAACATATTAATTTTACGTGACAGAGGACAGTAAAATATATCGGTGACATATTTACGTGGTGACAGAGGACATTGACAGCGCCCACCTTGTCCCGTAAGTCGACATTTTCGGGGTATTCGCTCAGCAGCCACCGCACGATGCTTGCACTGTCGTCTGCGAGCACAGCGAGGTGCAGCGGCGTCGCTCCGTCGGCGTCGGTCGCCCTGCTCAGCTGCTTACGGTCGATGAGTTGTTTAACATCTCTCAGCCTCCCGGCACGTATGGCTTCAGCGATCTGCCGCATCCTCTCCTGCGCGAAAACGAGGCTGAGTTTATATCTCGCTAAGTGAATTACATACGTGCATTATACGCGTATATACGTATATTATACGCGTATGTACGTATATTATACGCGTATGTACGTATATTATACGCGTATATACGTATATTATACGCGTATGTACGTATATTATACGCGTATGTACGTATATTATACGCGTATGTACTGCGTAGATATTATACGCGTTATCGGTACGTATGATTACACGGCGTATGTACGTATATTTAACGGCGTAGTACGGTATATAACGCGTATGTAGTCAATTATACGCGCATGTTACGTGCATTATAGCGCGTAATATACGTAAATTACACGCTATGTACGTATATTATATCACGTATGGTAACGTATATTATACGCGTATATGCGTATATTATACCGTATGTACGTATATTATAGCACGTATTACGTATATTATACGCGCATCGTACGTGCATTATACGCGTATATACGTAAATATTACACGCGTATGGTACGTATTATTATAGGCGCGTATATACGTAATATTATACGCGTAATATCGTATATTATACGCGCAATGGTATGTATATTAATACGCCCGCATGTACGTGCATTATACGCGTATATTATACGTACGAATTAACTCTTTACTTGTAGTCGTTAGTCACGCGATGTGAAAGCAAAGTGTATCGGCGGTAGAGAGATATATCCACATTTACGAGTAGATGGATGAATATGGAGTTTTACGAAT